AGTTGATGTTTTCTTTGAATTATATAATGATTAGAAACATCTGACTTATTGTTCAATATTTTCAGTTAAAAGTTGCAAAGGTCGCTGTTTTGAGAGAACATTTGGGAACTGTCGCTGTGATGCTGCCTGTGTGGAGCTTGGAAACTGCTGTTTAGATTACCAGGAGACATGTATAGAACCAGGTAAGGATGTGCAGGGAAAAAATGGAGTTATGATCATTAGGAAAAGATCAAGGAAAGTTCTGTGTCTTTCAGATATGTGATTTACCTAATTCATTTGAATTTTTTTTTATTTAGCATACATACACATTTTGACATTAGCTTTTATATTTTCTTTCAACAGTTCCTTAAGAGAAACAAATTTACAGAATTCTTTGTTAAACATTTTATGGATAGCAGAACTTTGCCTATGTTTAATGTATGCTGAAAACCTTTGTAATCTAATTTGCATTCAAATTCTAAATGCCTGCTTGAAATATAGGAATATTTTCATTATGGTTCTCTGACAGCAAGAGGTCTTATATGTCCACCTATATTTAAAAAAATAAAACTATCAGAATATGAAAATTTTCTCAGATTTGGACTTCTCTGCATATGACATGGAATAATATTTAAATGAGAGAGATTTATCTATTTTTCATTAGTTTTTATTTTTTAAAGACAGGGACTTGTTCTGTCACCCAGGCTGGAGAGCAGTTGCTCGATCATGGCTCATTGCAACCTTGAACTCCTGGGCTCAAGAGATCCTCCTGCCTCAGCCTCCCAAGTAGCTGGGGCTACAGGCTTACACCATTGTGCCCAACTGATTTTTAAAAGTTTTGTAGAGATGAGGTCTCACTACATTGCCCAGGTTGATCTCAAACTCCTGGCCTCAAGCAATCCTCTCACCTTGGCCTGAAAGTCAGACTTAGATTAAGTTTTAGGAGGTAGAAGAAGCCAAGTCTGCATATGAATTGCATAGTGGTAAGGCACATCTAAATTTGAAAATGACAAAATTCTGGAGTTTGAGTGAAATAATAATAATTGGTTCCTACATATTTTACCCCCCTTAGTTTGGAGTGGCCATGGTAGCGACAGATTCTGTGAGTGACTAAGAGCTGTGAAATTGTTCATTGTTGCTCATGGATCACACTCAGGAAGACAGCAATTCTGTGTTCACTTTGCACATGTTGAATTTGAGACATAAAACACATTTTGCTGATGTTTGTTTCCAGAACATATATGGACTTGCAACAAATTCAGGTGTGGTGAGAAAAGGTTGACCAGAAGCCTCTGTGCCTGTTCAGATGACTGCAAGGACCAGGGCGACTGCTGCATCAACTACAGTTCTGTGTGTCAAGGTCAGGTGCTCGTTGGGCTCTGCAGCAGCTTGGCATCTTCCAGCGTCTTAGCTGGGCTTTACATAGGTGTTATCTTTTATACTAGGAGTCATGGCTATTGGCCAACTGTATTAGCTGAAAAAAATAATTTTAAAACTTTTTATTAAAGAAACTTTTAAACATACACATGAGGAGAGAAAGTATGTAATGAACATTGTACCCATCACCCAGCTTAATGATTATTATTATGTACACATGGCGAATCATATTTTATCTATAACCATGCATTCTCCTGCCACCACCCTCTCATGTTATTTTGATAATAGCAGCATACTTAATGCTGTATTTGTGGAAAGATCCTTCATACAGTCCTGGCTGGCTTTTATGTGCCGGCTTCCCTCCTAGTAGATGAGGACACTGTCTGCTGTGCATTTAGAGAGTCGATGTGAAATTGTTTAGAAAGATTTGAGGGCATTTTGTAAGGTGATACTATTATGATATCTTGTCCAGGTATTATTATTTTTTCAAATTTCTTACAGAACTTGACTCTATATGAGAGAGAACTAAGACACCAAAATACCAAGGATTTTGATGAGTGGATAGAAGGAGAGGGTTGTAAATTTTGACTGAAAATATTAAGAATTTGAAAATGGAAAAGATACCTTCAAGTTCTCACAAATACAGTAGTATGTTTTAGTCTTACAGTTATGCATCCATTTTTAATTTCTGATATCAACTAACTCTTATTTTGAAACAGAATAATTATCTTTATTGATTATACACCTCCAGAATCATGTCCTGTGTTATCTATCAATCTGTTTGCATACTTTGTTTTTAGAGTCTGTCCTAATGTGTCTCACAAGCATCACAATTATTATTACTGTTAAGTGTGTTGAATTCATTTTATTTTCTTGAAAATATTTTAGGTGAGAAAAGTTGGGTAGAAGAACCATGTGAGAGCATTAATGAGCCACAGTGCCCAGCAGGGTAAGATTATATTCTGAGGTATTCCTTTTTTCTTTTGTAGAAGTACAGCATCATTTTTTCCTTTCCAAATTAAGATGATAAAAATAATAAAATCACTGACTTATTAAACATTACAGGTTGTGTATCCTGTATCCAAAATGTTTGGTATGAGAACTGTTTTGGATTTTGGATTTTTTTGGATTTTGGAATATTTGCGTTTTACCAGTTTGAGCATCTCAAATCTGAAAATCCCAAATGCTCCAGTGAGCATTTCCTTTGAGCATCATATCAGTGCTCAAAAGTTATGGATTTTGAAGCATTTGAGATATCAGATTTTCAGATTTGGGATGTCCAACCTGTGTTTTTAGCCAGATCTTGTGTTTGGCAATGGTGGAACAGAGATTATTATGGAGTTATCCCTATTCTGGAAGTTTATAGAAAAAAGAGAGGTCATGAATATTTAGTCTTTAGTATTGAAGAATGCTAGATAGAAATATTTGCATTTTCCTTTTCAGGAAGGAAGGATCTTTACTTTCATTTGGAGTTTTGAGAGCTGCTAAACTTGTAGAAAATTTAAGTTCTTTTTTTTTTTTTTTTTTGTATTTTGGTCCATTTATACATTTTTGGGATAAACAACCTGTTTGTGAGAGATGATACGTTTTTTAAAATAATTCATGTTTTTTTTTTTTGTCCTTCAAATATTTTGTACAGGGTCTTCCACATATGACACCGTCGAAAAGAGTGTGTGTGGAATTTAAAGGGTGAAGATTTTATAAAGGTGTTAGGTGTATTTATCTTTGTTCCATTTGAGGTCTACCATCTCATCCATTTGAATTATTCATCTTCAGAAATGTATTTTTACCTCTTTAAAATGATAGTTTTCTTAGACTATTAAAATTTTTAAGCTGTATTTTAGTTCATTTTGTTCATGTATATAATTTTTGTTATATGTCTTCTTTTTTTCTTTTGGAAGGAAGAGTACTTTTGATTTAAATAAGCAGGAGCAACAGCAGCCAAAACTAAACCTCAACCAAATGATTTCAACAGAAGAGGCTTTTTTTAAGGAAAACTTTTCATGTACCCTAAACTGTCTTTTAAATCCAAGGAATACTAGGAATGTTAGACTTAGTGAATTTCAAATCTTTCTTTTTCTTCTAAATATTGCTTATAATTTTTCAATTGTAATATTGAATCTTTTAGTGGAAAACATAACCCTTTCTTTACAAGAAGATCGTAACTTAGGCCACTTATTATTACACTGGATAATTTACCAGTGTGTTTACCTGATGGCCCACTAACCTGCTTTTATGATTTCTGTTGATTGAATAAAACTAGTTTTATATAGTTTTATTTGGACCATTAAGACTATATACACTGGTTCTGCAGAGTCTCTCAGTGGAGCTATGTTACAGATAGTAGCTAGTGAAAATTGTATAAAAATTTTCTCCTTGTCGGGTTGCTTTTGTGTTTGTGTATGAGGGTAAGATGGGAGGAGGCAGAGTTGAAAAGGCAAGGTAAGATATTTGCTGTCAAATTTAAATTTTCTGAGTAAACTTTCAGTGGGAAGTCTTCTCACAGTTATCCAGTGTTAAACTGCCAAGAGCAGCTCGGCTGGGGAGACCCTAACCCAGCGGCGCTAGAGGAATTAAAGACACACACACAGAAATACTGAGGTGTGAAGTGGGAAATCAGGGGTCTCACAGCATTCAGAACTGAGAGCCCCGAACAGAGATTTACCCACATATTTATTAATAGCAAGCCAGTCATTAGCATTGTTTCTATAGATATTAAATTAACTAAAAGTATCCCTTATAGGAAATGAAGGAAGGGATGGGCCAAATTAAAGGAATAGGTTGGGCTAGTTAACTGCAGCAGGAGCATGTCCTTAAGGCACAGATCGCTCATGCTATTGTTTGTGGCTTAAGAATGCCTTTAAGCGGGTTTTCTGCCCTGGGTGGGCCAGGTGTTCCTTGCCCTCATTCTGGTAAACCCACAACCTTCCAGCGTGGGTGTTATGGCCATCATGAACATGTCACAGTGCTGCAGAGATTTTGTTTATGGCCAGTTTTGGGCGGCCTGTTCCCAACATTATACAAGTTCCCTACCACCTACCATGTATCACTAGATGTTACAAAATGTCTGAGCCATGGCTGTTTGGGGGTAGCCACATAGCCACCGTCCATAGCTATTCTCATTTGTCAAGTATATTAGAATCCTCTGTGGTTTTTGGCCTCTTCTTTGGAATTTCCACACTACATGTTAACTCTTTGTATATGTATGTATGTGTCGTTGAAACCTCATTGATCATTCCCAGCTTTGGAACCATTTCTTTGTTGTTTATATATTTAAATATAGTATCTTTCAAATTTTGTATTAAGTATTTATATCTTTTAAATATAATAAGCCTAAAAACTAAATACAGTATACATAGGCTTGGTGGGTGGCTCATACCTGTAATCCTAACACTTTGGGAGGCCGAAGAGGGAAGATTGCTTGAGCCTAGGAATTCGAGACCAGGCTGGGCAACATACTGAGACCTCATCTCTACAAAAAATAAAAATAAAAATATTAACCAGGTGTGGTGGTATGTGTTTGTAGTCCCAGCTACTCAGGAGGGTGAGGCAGGAGGATCACTTGAGCCCAGGAGGTTAAGGCTGCAGTGAGCTGTGATAGCGCCACTGCACTGCAGCCTGAGCAACAGAGTGAGACCCTGTCTCAAAAATAAAATAAAAATAAAATAATAAAATAGTGTGTAATGTATATACTATATGACGTACTGTTTACTATATTAGAGTCCATATCAGAAAGTGGTGGTTCAGGAAAAATATTTACGGAAATATTATATGCTGGTTTTTTTTATTGTTTATTTTCCTGCAAATTGGGAAAACAATATTATATTTCAGTAGCAATTGGTTTAGCTTTTTGAACAGCAGGAACCATGAATGATGTTTCTGTATGGTGGCTCAAAATGATATGAATGCTTAATATATACTATTTGATGATATACATATTATGAAATGATAGAGCATGTATATAAATATAAATGCATGTAAAGTATACTTTATAAGTATGCTTGCCGACTTTGTTAGTTAGTTTTCTTAAGATCACACAGACCTTAGTGGAAAATCTTCACTGGACCTGTGCCTAGAAGGTAGCACATCTTCATTGGATATGTCTTGTCTTTGCTTCTTTAAACATTTTTTTTTTCTTTTTCATTACCCAGGTTTGAAACGCCTCCTACCCTCTTATTTTCTTTGGATGGATTCAGGGCAGAATATTTACACACTTGGGGTGGACTTCTTCCTGTTATTAGCAAACTAAGTGAGTAACTTCGGAGTTTACTGCTGGAATATCACGATTTCAGTGCGATCGACTAGGCAGGCAGTCTTTCTTGGAAAAGTACTGGCAGAACCTAATTGTTTCACTAAACTTTTCTATGGCAAAGTAGTTGAACCTGGTGATAAGGAACTTACCTTTAATAGTGTGAGTTCTCTGAAGCTGTCCTTCAAAAAAAATAAGTTAATATGGTTATCTTAGAGTTTTAGCCTTTGGCCATTTTTATATGTGTTTATTCTTTCTCAGAATTTTGAATTCCTTGTGAAAAAGTCCCTTGTTTATTTATTTTACAAATATTATTATTATTATTTTTGAGACTGAGTCTCACTCTGTCACCCAGGCCGGAGTGCAGTGGCGTGATCTTGGCTCACTGCAACCTCTGCCTCCCAGGTTCAAGTGATTCTCATGCCACAGCCTCCCAAGTAGCTGGGATTACAAGCGCATGACACCACGCCTGGCTAATTTTTGTATTTTTAGTAGAGACAGGGTTTTGCCATGTTTCCCAGGCTGGTCTCGAACTCCTGGGCTCAAGCAATCCACCCACCTTGGCCTCCCAAAGTGCTGGGATTATAGGCATGAGCCACCACGCCCAGCCTTATTTTACAGATATTTTATTTCAGAAATAGAATTTCAAAAACTAAAGGTATTTCTGAGATATTACAAGTACAGACAGAATATTTGTCAGTTATTCTGTATTCTCCTTTGGATTGAATTGGATTCTTCCAATTTTTTTTTTTTTTAATCTCAATCAGGCCTTAATTAAGTGGTTTTTCTATAAATTCCCCATAAAATAGTAGAATGGTGTTTTCTTAATATTGATGCTAAAGTTTTAAATCACGTTAACAACCTTTAAGCAGCTACAATGTAATACTGGACCAAAACAGAAGTAAGTAAATACAATTACTTTAGCTTTTTTCTGGAATTCTAAATTATTTTTTACCAGATTAGAGTATGTGAGGTGCTTTAAACATTAACATCACTCTCTGTATATTCATATGTATGTCACTATGCTTGTCTTATGAAGTGCCAAAATAATTTTGGGAGAGTTTTAAAAATGTTTAGTTTTTAATTTCTACATGGAAGAAGATGGTTTTGTTTTAATATTTTGCATAAAAAGTCTTTAGCTTTGCACGGACAAAGCTGTGTTCTTCCCAGCAGGCCCATGGCCTCTGAAGTTTAAATACAGCCCTTTGTTACCATTATCAGGAGAGCTTGTCTCTACGGTACCAAATGCGGCATTGTGAGTTTAGAGTTGAGAGGTGGAGGTGCCTGTATATGAAGTTTACAATAAATCATTAAACAATGAGCCCAAGCCCTAGCTTTGAATAATTAGGGAATGTAGCCTGTAATTCTGAACTGAGAGAAGGCAGTGAGATAATATAGACACATGCCAATTTGAGGGACATTTTTAGGCGAATGGAGTATTGAACGCTGGAATCATTAGTTATGTGTTCCCTCCTCAATAGTAGAGGCAGGAGAAAAAGAACGAGGCACCAGAACTAGATCAGCAGGCCAACAGGAATAGTCGGACTTCGGCGCTTTCTTGGACTTGAAGCCACAAGATGCCTTTTGTCTTTAAGGCGGCTGAGTTTGTCCAAAGTTAGCTGGTTCTAGATCTATGACCTGGAACACTGTCTTCCCAGCTACTCCTTCACCCTTGTTTTAATTTTTAGACTTAGCTCAGGGTTTTCTTTTTCTACCTCTTATGATTTAGGTATTTGACCACTAAGTGGTATCAAAGAACTTATAAGCATCATTTTATTATAACCTGTTCATCTTGAATGAAGTAATGTTATGGATAATTGGCTTACTTATTTTAATGTTTTTCTGACTAAGAGAAAAATGAAGTCATCTTTAACACAGGATTTGTATCCACAGTGTTGCTTTATAATTCATCCTGAATTTCTATCTGAGTAAAATCCCTCCTGGGCTAATTTTTTTTTTTTTTACGTGATTTAGACTGCTGTGGTACCACCACTAAAAGAGGTAGGCCAATTGTCAGATGTGTTTAATAACGATGTTTATTTTTTTCCCTTCTAGAAAAATGTGGAACGTATACTAAAAACATGAGACCGGTATATCCAACAAAAACTTTCCCCAATCACTACAGCATTGTCACCGTAAGCTCTGCATTTCAACTTCTATCTGTTTGCAGAAGTGAGATGGGATTGTAGCATTTTTTGAGAGAATAGATTTAAGATAAAAGAAAAACAACTTATTTTCCAGTATGTAGTTAAGCAAGGAAACCCAGGTTCTGATCTTTGCTGTGCCACGAACTAGCTGTGGCTTTGGAAAGGTCACTTTACTGGCTGCATCTCCATTTTCTCATCTGTGAAAAGAGATGACTCAAGACCTCAAGAAATGATTTCCTGGTTTCCTTTCAGTGTTAATATTCTGTGATTCTTGTATCCTAGTTTTGAGGCTTACTTTATTTGAGCCAAAAAACTGTCCCAAACTCCTGTGTTCACAACTTGTCTTTCCAATCATCTTGATGATGAATTTAAGCAAGCCACTTCGCCTGACTCTGAATAGGATTACAATTCTGTTTTTGTTTCAACGTTTCCAGATTTAATTTGAGTCAAATAAAACAGTAGAACTCATTAAACTTTAGAATTGAAGCCAGAAAATTAGTATGTTAGCTTATATTGATTCAAGCTACTCTGGGACCTCACCAAAAAAGGAATTTGTTCTGCAGAAATGCTTTACTCAGCAATTTAAAAAGATAACAGCATTGTTTTCAAAATTTGAGAGGCTACTTTTTTTTTTTTTTTTTTTTTTTTTTGAGATGGGCTCTCTCACTGTCACCAGGCTGGAGTGCAGTGGTGCAGTCTCGGCTCACTGCAACCTCCACTGCCCGAGTTCAAATACTTCCCCTGCCTCAGCCTCCCAAGTAGCTGGGACTACAGGTGCACACCACCACACCCAGCTAATTTTTGTATTTTTAGTAGAGTCGGGGTTTTGTAGCCTGCATGGGCCTAGGGGGACTGAACAAAGTGGCAGAGGCAGGGCATGTGGGAATAAAAGACAAAGTCAAAAGAGTATATCTGGAAGAAGGGGTCAGGGGGTACCTTGCCTCTAGTGGACAAGGACCCTGAGCTTTACACAGCCCTCCATATTTATCAGGCAGAAGAGATAGCCAGTGGGGGCTAATTGTCAGTTGGCCTTTTGGTTCACAGCAGGCTTGTGAGACTGCATTCTTTGAACAATAGGCTAGATTTTTCAGTAGATAACTTCAAGGATCCTGGCGCCAGGGAGTGAGGCCCTCAGCAAACCTTTTGGTGGCAGGGCAGTGTGAGTTTGCCCACATCCTGCATTCATGATAAACAGTTTGCTGTTTGATCATATAGCCTCCAGTGGAATGCTGAGTTGGTCATGTTCCACAGGCCTTCGGCTCCCTGCAGGGTTTCACCATGTTGGCCAGAATGGTCTCCATCTCTTGACCTCGTGATCCGCCTGCCTCACCCTCCCAAAGTACTGAGATTGCAAGTGTGAGCCACTGGGCCCGGCCAAGGCTGCCTTTTTTATATAGATCTTTATCCTTAGTATTACTGACTTATTTTCTCCTATTACATAATTTAAATCACAAATACTACATAAAATCTTAAGTGGTTGTGTTTTGCCGTTACCTGATTTTTTTGTTTTTCTTTCCTTAAACTTAATATAATTCCATGTGGCTTCAGTTATCGGTTTCTTTTTGATGATTTTTTTTCTGTGAATTTATTTAACATTAAGTAAACACAACTTGCATATAATCTGTTTTATCTTTTTTAGGGGTTGTATCCAGAATCTCATGGCATAATTGACAATAAAATGTATGATCCCAAAATGAATGCTTCGTTTTCACTTAAAAGTAAAGAGAAATTTAATCCTGAGTGGTACAAAGGAGAACCAGTGAGTTCTTTGTTTTTCTACTGAAATAGTTTATTATTCTCATCTATTTCAATTAGAGTAAAATAACCAGTTCTCTGGAGCTTTTAATAACCGATTTCATTTAGTGTGTCTGTGGCCGTTCTTTTGTAAATGGAGATGAATGCTGATAATCCTAAACATAATTTGTATAATTGCGTAAAAGGAGAGTAGTTTATTTCAGAGGTGGATTTGGGTTGTGCTGGGCCATTTTTCTTTTCTGATCAATTCTTCTTCTACCAGTAGCATAAAACAGTAGTGTGGGGGTAATAACTTTGATCTACACAAAACTCTGTTGCTTTTGAAAGTCTTGGTTCGATTTACATGTGCTAATTTAGGAGGTTCTTTCCAATTGTGATTTAACTGTATTCTCCTTTTTACTTTTTAAAATTCTCCAATTCTCCAATTTACTTTTAAAAATTGCCACAATTTAAAAAAATTTTTGAAAAAGTTGCCACAATATTTTAAATTGCCACAATAATTATATAAGGTCTATTTAAATAATCACGATATTCCTCTTAGAAGGACAGAGAGCATAAGAGTTTGCAGGTTATGAATTCAAATTTTAGCTCTGACATTTAAAGCTGTGTGACTTTGGACAAATCATTCTGTTTCTGCCTCCGTTTTATCGTATCTATACTGTAGATAATATTGTTTACTACTTCGTAGGATTATTGTGGGATTATGTGAATTAATAATGTAGGATGCTTGTAGGAATACTATTTAGAACCATGATTGGCCATAATAAGTGCTTAATAAATGTTAGTTACATACACAAATATCTCAACAAGTTAAAGACATGTATATTTGTGATTTTTTTTTTCTTTTTAGAGAAAACAGTCAATTAGGGGAATAGCTCCAAAAGCTGCAGGAGTTAATCTCTGACTATTTAATATCTTGTTGCTGCTTAAGAGTCATATTACATGATTATTGTGATCTAAGTGCTGAAGCTTGTTGACCTTAAAAACATTCTAGCACTAGAGAGGAATTCATTGGTGTTGCATGAACACATACTTTCATGAGAGATGAATGTTTGCATGATTTCTTAATTTTCCTTCATTATCTGCTCCAGATTTGGGTCACAGCTAAGTATCAAGGCCTCAAGTCTGGCACGTTTTTCTGGCCAGGATCAGATGTGGAAATTAATGGAATTTTCCCAGACATCTATAAAATGTATAATGGGTATGTGAAATGAACTTTTTCTAGGATCTGTAACATAGAACAGCTTATTCTTATGTAATCTCCTTTTTATCAAATCCTAAGCTTTAGCATTTGAGTAATATGTTGACTGAAAAATGAGAACTGAAGAACTCTTTCTCAAAGAGTTTAGATAGATGGCAAATGGACAGTAAAACTAGAGAAGTGGGCCGGCCTCGGTGGCTCACACCTGTAATCCCAGCACTTTGGGAGACTGAGGCGAGTGGGTCACCTGAGGTCAGGAGTTCGAGACCAGCCTGGCCAACGTGGTAAAACCCCGTCTCTACTAAAAATACAAAAATTTCCATTTCTAAAGTAGTAAATATGCTTTCTAGTATAAGAAATGGATTAGAATTAACCTCTGTGTGATATTTGAGATCCATGATGCATTGAGAAAAAAACAAAAACTTTTTAATAGGAGAAACTCTTTGGCCCATTTGAGCAAGATTACTGAAATAATTTTATTTATTTTTAAATTGTAAAATTTCTGTCACAATATCAATACAATGCATTTAGAAGGATGAACAGAAAATATCTTAAATCCCAGACACGAAATGCATAGCAGTTTTCCTTGTGATCTTATGCTAGTTTGTGTTCTTTATGGCTTCCGTGAGCACAGTGCAATGCCTCTTCTTCACCTTCTTATTTGCCACTGTTTTTATTCCATGGACAGTAATTAAGAGTTTATGGGCTGGGCATGGTGGCTCACACATGTAATCTCAGCACTTTGGGAGGCCTAGGCGGGCGGAGCACGAGGTCAGGAGATTACCTGGCTAACACGGTGAAACCCCGTCATTACTAATATAAAAAAAAAGAAAAAAGAAAAAAATAGCCAGGTGTAGTGGTGCACACCTGCAGTCCCAGCTGCTCAGGAGACTGAGGCAGGGGAATTGCTTGAACCTGGGAGGCGGAGATTGCAGTGAACCGAGATCGCGCTACTGCACTCCAACCTGGCAACACAGTGAGATTCCATCTCAAAAAAGAAAAGAAAAAAAAAGAGTTTATGTACTAAGAATGGGGGATTCAAAGATTAATAGTATATGGTCTGTTGGCTTTTTAACAGTACACAACTAATTGTACTTGGGTGTGGCAAGAACTCTGATTAGAAGTGTGTAAACAAAGCCTGTGTCCAGAGAAAGGCATAAGGCATAGTCAATGCTGCTCAGGAAATACTGCCTAGAGAACTACTATCTGCTTCTCAGGTGCCTGCTTCACAGCTGTGCTGACTCATCAGTGAGTGAGTGCTTCGTGCTGGAGGCTTTGCAAAGTATATTAACACATGAGTTATTCATGTGGTATGCAGTGACTGTTTTCAGGCCCATGAATATTATCCTCAAGCAGAAGATAGCAAGCAAAGTTTTAAATCCAGTTGCAACTTTTATCTGTGTAAAACCTAACTTTCATTCCTTCACTGGGAAAATAAATTTTCCAAATAAAACTCCTACTTGATTTCCAACACAATAGATGTGAAATAGCTTTTAGTAGTTCTTAATGACATTTTCAATGAAAAAAAAAAAACTGTATTTTAAACCCAAACAATTGTCAGACATCTTTTATTTTTGTTTGTTCTTAATTTTAGTTCAGTACCATTTGAAGAAAGGATTTTGGCTGTTCTTCAGTGGCTACAGCTTCCTAAAGATGAAAGGTCTGTAGGCAATTAATTTCTATTGTAAATACTTCATTTTGTAGAAATGATATATTATTTTAAAAATAGACTACAACAAAACTTTGCTATTTGCTGTGCTGTTTTATATCAAAATAAATTCTTTAATGATCATACCACATTTTGAAGAATTTCAAAGTTGTAAATTGTTTCCCAGTAGAACTGTTACCCCAGTGTTATAAAATTTAATCCCTATCAATTGATGAATTATTTTTTCCATTCTGTTTTTCAATGTGTTCGTAAAATATTACATTTTGATACTGTTTGATTTAGACCACACTTTTACACTCTGTATTTAGAAGAACCAGATTCTTCAGGTCATTCATATGGACCCGTCAGCAGTGAAGTAAGTACATTTTTATCAGTAATTATTTCATTAAACCCAGTCATCAAACTGAACCTTGCTTTGAAGGAGGCTGCTGGACCGTTCTGTAGGATTCTGTGGTTTCTGGAAAAAGCAAGTATATACAATATTACTAAATAAAAGGATGTACTTTAAACACAATAAGAGTTGGGAGAATTGTTTAGCCTGTGTTTTCCACAGTGCTAAATTGAACTGATGATGAATTAGCTTCTATATTTTCAATGTGAAAGCCTTTATCCACTCCATCGCCCCCTACCTTGGCCTAAATACTAAGTGCTTTTTGAGAACGTTGTAAACAGCTAAACCTCCAGTAGAAAATACAGGGTAATAAGTCAAATAGTAGAGGAAGCCTCCTCTGAACTCTCTTGCTTAGGAGATATGCTTTGGCCACCTGAGACCATGCTTACAACAGAGGTCCCATAGAAGGATGGGAGATTTTATCAAAATCATAGCGATATTTGAATAATTATTTTTGTTGAGTATTTCCTAGGAAACTAGAGGTATGAAACAGCTCATGGACTAACACTTTCAATGTAACATCTCGTTTGATCTGACACCCTTTCAGGAACTTAGCCAGCTCCTAGCTATGTTTTTAATCTGTATAGCACTTTAAAACAGCAAACACTGCTTTCAGTTTTCACGTGGCCATATCATTTTTGTTACCATTTTAATGGCAAAAAACCACAATTACTTTTGCACCAACCTAGTATTTTTTTTTTTTTTTTT